ACATTTGTATTTTTTACATGCAAAGAGGTTATCTTGGTTATCTTGAGATGATTTCGGGGCTTAGCGTCCCCGCAGCCCGGTCCTCGACCAGGCCTCCTTTTTGTTATACCCCCCCCCCCCCCAGGAAGCAGCCGGTAGCAGCTGTCTAACTCCCAGGTACCTATTTACTGCAAGGTAACAGGAGCATCAGGGCGAAAGAAACATTTTGCCCATTTGCGTCCGTCTCCACCGGGGATCGAACCCGGAACCTCAAGACTACGAATCCAAAGCGCTGTCCACTCAGCAGTCAGGCACCCTTAAATAATGCATTGGAGAGTTCAAGAATAATGCATTGGAGTAATAATGTAATGAGTAATAAGAGTAATGCTTTGCATTACTCTTTCATTAATGCATTGCATAAGAGAGAACTCGATAAACACCTCCAAAGCCTGGTCAACCAGGCTGTGACTCATACGTCAGGCTGCGAGCAGCCGCGTCCAACAGCCTGGTTTACTGAAAAACAATAAGTCCTTCCAATCTCATTATACATTTTGTATTATTATATTCATAATGGAAAAAAATATAGTCTCAATTACGCTGGTTGCGCTAATTATTCTCCTTTCACGTGAGGGATCGTTACGGTTCATTCCGGCCTGGATTAACTCTATATTTATATTATCGGTAAGGCCTTAAACCCCTGTTGAGAGCTCGCCATTGATTTATAAATGCGTTGTCAGTTTTTAGGGGCATAACTTCCCCTGAGTATTCCAGGTGGTGGAGTCTTCTTGGCCTCGAGGGTGCCAGGGACAACTTCGGGTGTATATCCAGTTACTCCTTACACTCGAGGTTAATAATAATTATGTATTCACTTTGCTATGTTTTAGTATAATATTCCACAATATGAATCATAATTATTATAATTTCGCAAAAATTAATTTCTTTTGGGTGGAAGGGACGCCGTTAGGCTGTCCTAATGATGGACCCGCCATAATTATTATTAAATAATTTTATTAATTAGTGTTTAGAATTTATCTATGAAGGATGTTGGGTTTTGTTATAAAAACCTCCTTTTTAAAGTTAGAGAAGATTATTTTTTTCCGGCGTACCGCTGACAGACAGGTGAGGACGCCTACCCAGCACCGCTGACAGACAGGTGAGGACGCCTACCCAGCACCGCTGACAGACAGGTGAGGACGCCTACCCAGCACCGCTGACAGACAGGTGTGGACGCCTACCCAGCACCGCTGACAGACAGGTGTGGACGCCTACCCAGCACCGCTGACAGACAGGTGTGGACGCCTACCCAGCACCGCTGACAGACAGGTGAGGACGCCTACCCAGCACCGCTGACAGACAGGTGTGGACGCCTACCCAGCACCGCTGACAGACAGGTGAGGACGCCTACCCAGCACCGCTGACAGACAGGTGAGGACGCCTACCCAGCACCGCTGACAGACAGGTGAGGACGCCTACCCAACACCGCTGACAGACAGGTGAGGACGTCTACCCAGCACCGCTGACAGACAGGTGAGGACGTCTACCCAGCACCGCTGACAGACAGGTGAGGACGTCTACCCAGCACCGCTGACAGACAGGTGAGGACGCCTACCCAACACCGCTGACAGACAGGTGAGGACGCCTACCCAGCACCGCTGACAGACAGGTGAGGACGTCTACCCAGCACCGCTGACAGACAGGTGAGGACGCCTACCCCAGCACCGCTGACAGACAGGTGTGGACGCCTACCCAGCACCGCTGACAGACAGGTGAGGACGCCTACCCCAGCACCGCTGACAGACAGGTGAGGACGCCTACCCCAGCACCGCTGACAGACAGGTGTGGACGCCTACCCAACACCGCTGACAGACAGGTGAGGACGTCTACCCAACACCGCTGACAGACAGGTGTGGACGCCTACCCAGCACCGCTGACAGACAGGTGTGGACGCCTACCCAGCACCGCTGACAGACAGGTGAGGACGTCTACCCAACACCGCTGACAGACAGGTGTGGACGCCTACCCAGCACCGCTGACAGACAGGTGTGGACGCCTACCCAGCACCGCTGACAGACAGGTGAGGACGTCTACCCAACACCGCTGACAGACAGGTGAGGACGCCTACCCAACACCGCTGACAGACAGGTGTGGACGCCTACCCAGCACCGCTGACAGACAGGTGTGGACGCCTACCCAGCACCGCCAGGCTACTGCAACACAGGAGACCGGGGGATGATAAAAGTACTTGTCTGTGCCTATTCATGTTTTCGCCTCTCTTCCCTGTCATGTAGTTGTTTGTGTTGGCTAATGCTCTCCCTCCCTCCTTCCCTCCAGCCCTCCCTCCCTCCTTCCCTCCAGCCCTCCCTCCCTCCTTCCCTCCTTCCCTCCAGCCCTCCCTCCCTCCTTCCCTCCAGCCCTCCCTCCCTCCTTCCCTCCAGCCCTCCCTCCCTCCTTCCCTCCAGCCCTCCCTCCCTCCTTCCCTCCAGCCCTCCCTCCCTCCTTCCCTCCAGCCCTCCCTCCCTCCTTCCCTCCCACCACGTCAGGTAGCGTCCTCCCTCCCTTTCGTGGTGCCCGGGGCACGGTCAGCGGTGGCAGTACTGGGGTGGTAATCACTGCGGGCCGGAGGAGAGGGCCACAAGCGCGCCATTATCCCAGCACGAGGCACCTGTTGCAGGCAAGCAATTACACCCCGACCGGCCCCGCGCCCCCACCACTGCCCCCCCCCCTGACACTCGGGGCAGGGTCGGTGACCTCAGACACACGAGTTCAGATGTGTCTTCCTGTCACACCTGCACTCTATATAGTGGCAGGTGTGGGAGGGGTGCGGCGCTTGATAGAGCGTAGGTGTGCCTGTCAGACAATATACACCACATGTGTCACCGACGACTGTGAATGTTTCTCTTCCGTATCATTATGTGTGGACAAGTGTCATTGTCTGCGGCATGGCCTGTATCTCAACACTGGCACTTGTTCTGATATTTGACCAAGCTCCTGGGACCTGCCTCATCCTGCGAGGATTCTTCTAGACCAGTAGCCGTGTTCGACAAGTGTCTCACTAACTTCTCCCGGTCGAAGCTCCCCGCTTGAAATGCTTCGTCCACGTTCCGTAAATATAAATAATTAGCAAAGCTTCCCCCCCAATTGACACGAGAAATGTCTGAGAGCGTATGAGGTTCCAGCTCCCGGCCTCGCCTTTACTGATTTCGTTTTTGGATTGTAATAATGGGTCCACAGGCCTCCTGGGACGCGCGTCTCTAACCAAACAATGCTCACCAGGATCAATACGTCCCTGGAGCATAATAATGCTGGCTAGGGTTCACACGTCGTCGGAGCATAACGCTATTCTCCCCCCGGGATCTATACACGTCCACGTGAAGTGAACAACTTTACACTATTGTTGCCTTCAGCCACTTCTTTTTTAACTTTACAAGTGACTAATGAAATCTTTAAGAAGCGCTGAAATCTGATGGTCAGGACACCAACCGGTGCTGCTTCTCATTGTATCTTAAGGCTAAAATGATTACACAAATTGATTCTATATTTCATTAAACCTCTTTACCAACAAACTCCAAGAGGAAATTGCCATGAATTCTACTTAAGGTCATGACCCCTTTGTGATGACCCCTTTGTGATGACCCCATGTGATGACCCCCATGTGATGACCCCCATGTGATGACCCCCACGTGATGACCCCCACGTGATGACCCCCATGTGATGACCCCCATGTGATGACCCCCACGTGATGACCCCCATGTGATGACCCCCATGTGATGACCCCCACGTGATGACCCCCACGTGATGACCCCCACGTGATGACCCCCATGTGATGACCCCCATGTGATGACCCCCATGTGATGACCCCCACGTGATGACCCCCATGCACGCTCCGCGCCACAGGCAACAACTCCTCCTCCCCCTGGGTTATATTTGGACCTGGTCCTGTGTCTTGTATAGCGTATCTAATTTACACTGCAAATTCTCGCATTCTATAAATATAAACCATGTTTCTATATCAAGACCAAGACTTTCTGCGTTTTAACAAGTGTCTCGTATCATGTATCCAGCTACCATGTATCCAGCTACCATGTATCCAGCTACCATGTGTCCAGCTACCATGTGTCCAACTACCATGTATCCAGCTACCATTTGTCCAGTTACCATGTGTCCAGCTACCATATATCCAGCTACCATGTGTACAGCTACCAAGTGTCCAGCTACCATGTGTCCAGCTACCAAGTATCCTACTATGTATCCAGCTCAGTACCTCCACTGATAACCACTACTGCCTGAAAACTTGCCATTCTCCTCCAATCATCAGCAGTGTGCTCCTGCCAGCAGGAGTCCTGGTCTCGGCCACAGCCGCGAACACAGCTGCAGGCGGCACAGAAGGCGCTGATTCACCCTACTACATTCGTCTTCTCGGTTCACTATGTCATTATATTCGTAATTGAGACAACACTTACCTCCTACAGCGGACAAAGAGCGGCTAGCACATGCCGGTGAGACATTCCTCAAGGAGCGAGGCGGCATGTCTGGGCCAGACATCACCAGAGGCACATTACACACAACTAAGAGAAATCTTAGCTCTGGGGCACACCTCAAGACGTATTTGGGACGTGATTCAGACAATTGCGTTTAATAAGACACCATGACTCGGAGACAATATAAACAAGATGTGTCCAAACATTACAAACATTACAAGACTCGCCACTAACTGTCTTGTAAGAAGGCTTCCATGAAGAGAAACTTCTTCACTCATCAATATATAATTGTGAGCCGAAACCCAGAATTTACATCTCAAGTCTAACGGCAAGTCATCATCCGGTCTAATGACCTTTGGCTCTACGACCGTGACCTCTGGCTGACCCAGCCGTGACAAGTTGCCACTGAACACCTTTAATAATGTGTTCGGGCTCGACAAAGACAGGTTTTAACTACTGTCCTCAGATGTTAACTTTCCAGCAGCCAGACCGCTGCCACGACGGCAACTTAAGACACGCTGCAGGGAGACCTTTATTATCTAGAGCGTTGTTGATGTGTTCGTCCGCGTTAGCGTGGAGGCCGCCGCTAACGTGGAGGCCGCCGCTAATGTGGAGGCCGCCGCTAACGTGGAGGCCGCCGCTAACGTGGAGGCCGCCGCTAACGTAAAGGCCGCCGCTAACGTAAAGGCCGCCGCTAACGTGGAGGCCGCCGCTAACGTGGAGGCCGCCGCTAACGTGGAGGCCGCCACTGTAAACGTTAAAACACGGGTGCTCGTAGAAACATCCACTTGAACCAAACTAACAATCAATTGCTCAATCATTTTCAAATTTCAGATGTCACTAGCCCATTGAGAGAACTGTTGCATGACAACTACACATTCATTAAACCCCAAAAAAGCGCTCCGCCACAAGTGTGCGTAAGTCAGAGTGGTGTGAATGTCTGTCATTGAGCGTGATCGTCGCCTTAATGTGGTTAAAGACCGTCTAGTGTAAGACGAACAACCGTCCACTTACGGACATTTTCTGTCTCGCTACAGAGGTTGAGACGGCTGCTGGTGCTAGTGTTGGCCTCTCCTGTGATCTCTCCTCACACTCGGCTACTTCATGACTCTGTAATGACGGATTATTGCAGCTCAACTCCCAAAATGGTCCCAATTACGCGCTGATAAAAGTAAATATAGTAATTCCTTTGTGGTGATCAGGTCCTTGGGCCAGGTCCTCGGGCCAGGTCCTCGGGCCAGGTCACCGAGGATACCTGATCAAGCAGGCTGTGATTCATACGTCAGGCTGCGATCAGCCGTGTCCAACAGCCTGATTGACCAGTCCAGCAACGAGGAGGCCTGGTCGAGGGCCGGGCCGTGTGGACGGTAGGCCAGGTCCCCCAAGCCTCCCTCGTCAGACAAGCGTCTACAGTGCTGTCCTCCTCCCCCCTCCCCCCGGTCACACAGGAATACGCCTCCCACGTCACACAAGAGTGCACAACACTGCCTCCCACGTCACACAGGTGTATACCTCCCACGTCACACAGGAGTATACCTCCCACCTCACACAGAAGTATACCTCCCACGTCACACAGGAGTACGCCTCCCACGTCACACAGGAGTACGCCTCCCACGTCACACAGGAGTATACCTCCCACGTCACACAGGAGTATACCTCCCACGTCACACAGGAGTATACCTCCCACGTCACACAGGAGTATACCTCCCACGTCACACAGGAGTATACCTCCCACGTCACACAGGAGTACGCCTCCCACGTCAGAGAAGCGCCCAGAGCGCTGCGTCACAAAGGCGCACACAGCGCTGCCCCGCACACATGCTGGGGCGCTAGACACATGTGCTACATTAACTGCGTCCTTAAGTGTGTATGCGAGGACTTACAAGAGCCTAGGCGAGGCCGGAGACGACATACAACACAACCTTGCATGTATATTCGGCGAGAATGGCTCAAGTTAAGCTCTCTTAACATTTCATTGAAGATGCTTCAGCGCCGATGAGACTACATAGCAGTTAACCCCCGGATGCTAACCATTTTCACCCCTAGGCGGTTGGACCACTCAGGCGGCATTTCTCCGAGATCCAGGAGGTTTACGGCCCTCTGAGTTGCCCTTAAAATGCAAATGCTACGGGCCCTAGCTGTTGGGGATTATTCACACGGACTGGGATCCTCCGGCAGAATCCCCCACAGTTGGTGTGGGTATTATTGCGTGCTTACCTTACTCTGGCTACCACACCAAATAGTAGAGGGGCTGGTCCCAAATCTTCACACAGAAATAACATCACATGAGACCAGGAGGCATGGCAGGATGTGCAGAATACTCCCGTTGAAAAGCAGAGGTGCAACAGGTACTCTGAGAGAGAACTCTATCAACATCAGAGGCCCGAGACTGTTCAACACGCTTCCGCTACACATAAGGGGCATAACTGGCCGACCCCTCACAGTGTTTAAGAGAGAACTTGACAAACACCTCCAAAGGATACCTGTTCAACCAGGCAGTGACTCATACGTCAGACTGCGAGCAACCGCGTCCAACAACCTGGTTTACCAGTCCAGCAACGAGGAGGCCTGGTCGGGGACCGGGCCGCAGGGACGCTAAGCCCCGAAAGCAACACAAGGTAAGGCAAGGTAACCTACCCTTTACCCCCCAAACAGTGTCCAGGGGCGCCCACACACACTGGTGACCATCACCTCAAATATGGTTCCATGTGGGCGGAGAAATGGGTTTAAAAATACAATGTTACATCTGGGAGCATTAATAATTGACCTGGTATTGTTCCTGTTGTATGAAGGCGAGGCGGCCCTTCCCCTCGCGTCAACAAGGTCGCGGGCTGGCTGGCTGGCGGGACTCTAAACCAATCGTTTACACTATGCCGGTGGCTAAGGTATCCCAGCAGTTCCCAGCTTCCTATCCCAGCCCTGGTAGAGCCAAACTCCCTAAACCTGTCCCACCTAGAGCACACGCCTCTCTTGCCGCCAGGCCTGCCTTGAGAGTTACCATGAGGTGCTTCCGGGGCTTAGCGTCCCCGCGGCCCGGTCGTCGACCAGGCCAATACAAAATTGCAACATGATCTTTGGAGACTTCATTTTTCAATTTTCTTCTCAGTTGAAGAAAAACGTAAGAAAAATAGAGATGATTCATGCTAGAATCATTGATCTCATTCTTCCTAGCATATTCAATGACATATGGATATGTTGTGTATTGTATTGTGTTGTGTTGTGTGTGTATTGTGACAAACATGCCACAATACACACACAACAGGGCAACAACTCCACACAAACTATCCGCAAC